GGTTTGCCTACGCCGGGGAAGCCAGGGGGGCCGGGCAGGCCGGGTTCCCCCTTGGCCCCCGGCAGCCCCGGGGGGCCGATGGGGCCACTGGGTCCTGCAATGCCTGGGATCCCCGAGGGACCCTGGAGCCCCTGGGCACCGGGGAGCCCTGGCTCACCCTTGGGCCCCACAAGCCCTGGGACGCCTGGCAGGCCCGGCAGGCCTTTCTGACCAGCTTCACCCTTGGGCCCTGTGGGGCCCGGCAGCCCACGAAGCCCGGGGGCCCCCCCTTCCCCAGGAAAACCTGGCTTTCCTGGGAATCCCTGTAGGCCTGGTTCCCCCTTTGGGCCAATAGGTCCTTGCGGCCCCACAGGTCCGCCTTCTCCTTTTGGTCCTGGGAAGCCGACGGCACCCGGGGGGCCCATGATTCCCGGCAGTCCTGGCTGTCCCGGCTCCCCTGGAGGCCCTCCCATGCCTGGTGGCCCTACATGTCCTTTCTCTCCCTTAGGCCCGAGGGGGCCAGGCAGGCCACCCACGCCGCGCTCACCTTTGGGTCCGGGAAAGCCTGGTTTCCCAACGCCAGGAAGGCCGGGGGGCCCCGGTAAGCCTGGCAAACCTTGCTCTCCTTTGCCACCCGGGAAGCCAGGTTGGCCAGGGATGCCGTCTTGGCCTGGCTTACCAACCCCTGGCAGGCCTGGTGGGCCTTGGATCCCTGGTACCCCCGGGGGCCCTTGTAGCCCTTGCTCCCCTGGGGGGCCAGGTTTACCTAGCGGTCCCTGAGGGCCTGGAAACCCAACCATTCCCGGCTTCCCAACCCCTGGCAGTCCTACTGGGCCTGGAGGACCAGGTAATCCAGGTGGACCTTTTAACCCTGGTAAACCAGGAATCCCAATGCCTTTTTCTCCTTTTGGCCCTGGGATTCCAGGGGCTCCTGGGGGCCCTTTCATCCCAGGCTCACCCTTTGGTCCTGGTTGTCCTGGTAGTCCTGGAGCACCTGCTTTTCCTATACCAGGAAGTCCATGAGGTCCCGGTGGTCCTTGGGGCCCAGGTATTCCCATGGGCCCAACCTCTCCCTTTGGTCCCATCTCCCCTCTCTGCCCCGGGGGCCCCATGACTCCTGGTTTCCCAGGCATGCCAGGCAAACCTGGCTTCCCAATTCCTGGATATCCTTGTGGACCCGGTTTTCCTTTGGCTCCTGGCACTCCATGACCTGGTAATCCTGGTGGCCCTGGTGGCCCTCTTGGTCCAGGCTCACCAGGGGGACCTTGCTCACCTCTCAGACTGAGTACCGGCATTTCTGGGTTGGGGGAGAAAAGAAAAAAAGGTGGGGAGACAGAAGGTTATTGTAATCTCATCTTTTGAAAAAAACACAAAGGCAGTTTTGAATGCATTTGTTGTGATATCTCTTGGTTTTGTGGTAGGTGGGAACATAGAGCTGCCCAGCAATTTACTGCTTGATGTTTCAGATTAAGACGATCTTCTTACTGTTTTGCATACCCCAAATTTACACACATGTGTTTTGTTTCCATGAAATAATTATTTTGCATGATCTTTGCTTATTTTCTGTAGTGTAAAGCCATTTGCACTTTACTACCGTTTTCCACATATACGTGCTCATTTTCAAGATAGCTTCCGGTAAGTGATGAAATGAAAAAAAAAAAAAATTCTAACAACAACAAAAAAACACCCCCAAAATAAAACCTTGAACTTAGGGGCATTCTGCTTTTTGGTCCGTATTAGTATAGGCTAATCTACTTTTAAAACATTAGAAGGACAAAGAAGCTGTTTGATGCTTTTCTGTTACATGAGGAGTTTTAGCGTAAAAGTGCTTTTGCTAGGGGGGCTTATGTTAGCCTGATCAATTAAACAAGGTTATATCAGCCAAAAGTTTCTATGCAGGTATAATTGTATTTTCACCTAGCTTAGTTCACGTAAAAATGCTACTGGAAACCTACAGCTTTTACCTGGCATTGCTAAGCTACCAAAATTTTTTGGCCGAGCCATGGCTAATTACAGCCATCTCTATAACACTTCACAAAACATGTTGATTGTCAAAAGCCATGGTTTTACCAGTGAATGTGAACATTTAGCATTTTGGGTCAGGGTAAGGGAGCTGCTGCTTGGGAGTGGTTGTGTTGGGGGTTAGCTGGTTGCCTTTCAAACTGCAGATTTTTGTGGAAAGTGGAAAGTTTGGTTCTCCCCTGCTGTAAAATGGATGAAGAAGTAAGAAATGTGGAGTTTAGGGGAAGGGGACAGCTGAGGTTTCAGGGCAAGAGAATTAACTGTTCTTTGCAGGGCAGAACCCCTCCCTCTCTGCCCATTTTGTGTCTTATGCACACTGAAAACCTCCTTTGCTCGCAGGATGGGTGGGTTTGACTACAGTCAGTCATCATTTGTTCAGATCCTCCAAAAATAGGCCCTGAATTCTTCCATTTCCCACTGAGCCCAGTCGAGGCTGTGGTGGTTACTCCAAACCCTTAAAAAAAGGCAAAGAGTTAACCAGGGAGCCCAAGGTCAGGGAAAGGCTCACTGTCCCCACCAGGATTTTAGGACACAGAGTTCCTGATTGCCCTGTGTTTTTTTGACTTCTGTTGTTGTTTTCTTAAGGATTCTGATAATTTTCAAACCTCCTTTACTGAATACTGAAAATACTCATACCTGCAGACTTGTGCAGTAATACCCTGTACATACAATGGCTCAATTACTCCCATACATAGCTTACAGAAAAATAACTTCAGAGTCCGAACGCTTCTGTGTTTTTATCTGCAAACCTGTAAGTTATAGAGTCTGGACAAAACTGTAATATTTCTATAAACTCTAAGCTGAAGTCCTGAGGCTCTTAATGTCTTATTTCGTGTCTAGTTGCTGCAGTGACAGCGGCCAGCACCTGCAGCCAGGGCCTGGCCTGTCTGCCTGGGACATGGCTTGTCCTGGTTGGAAGAGTATTCTGCAGGTGGGAGGATTTCTGAGGTTTCTCTTAGCCCCAGACGAGCACCTAAATAAACCTTCCTCCCACTGCTCCTCAGACACCCAGCCAGCCCTCCGAGTGGCTCAGTGCTGCGTCAGGCCAGCAGCAGCCCTGATCCCCATTGCTTATTTACCCAGGGCAAACAGTGCGGTGGGGAGATGCACATGAGTGTGCAGGGCTGATGTTGGCCGGACAAAGCCTACCTTTTTCTTTCTTTGGAGCCATGTCCTTGCCGAGCAGAGGCATCTGCGGGACCTCCTTCATGTACTGAGGCAGATGGGGATACTCCTTCCCGTACTGCATGTGCGGCACCTCCTTGCCCATGTGCTGCATTGGGATGCCTTCTTTGCCCAGTGGCATGTGAGGTACTTGTTGTCCAAGGGCTTGGTACTGGGGCATCTGGGGTGGCAACTGCTTGATCCCATAATAGACACCGCCCTGAATGGATCTCACCAGCTCCAAGTAAATGGTGACAGCCACCGCCAGCAGCTGCACAGGCACTAGCAGCAGAGCCATGACCTGCAAAAAAAAAAAAAAAATAACCCCCCAACTAAAAAAAAAAAAAAAAAAAATCACCCCCCACAGTTGGCAGAAAATGTTTTTGCACTGCGCATTTTTCCCATGGTGACCAGTGTGGCTTCATGTTCTGCCAGAAACTGGGCCTGAAACTCTGCAAACTCTCTGTGGTTTATGCATCATCTTTGTGGCTGTCCATCCGATAGGCAGGCCTGCGTCTGTTTGCATTGTAAACTCTTACTCAGATGCTACTGTTACCGCAAAGGTCCTTGTCCGTATTAAGTTTTATATTAAATCTAGTTCCTCTTCTACTTTTGCCACCCCCATAGTTTATTTCCATTGTGCTGCGTGTCTTGGTAAAAATAAGAGCTGTGGTGCAGAAATTGGACTTAAGGACTGGAAATTAAGAGCAATCTGGGCTGGGCTGTTTGGGGCACACTGGAAGGAGCGGGAAGGAAACGAGCGCTCACGAGCTGCACATCTTAGCAGTGTGAACAGCAACGTTCAGACAGCAGAGGAGAGCTAATCGTGCCGGCCCTTACCTACTCGTCTCTAAAGTTCTGGCTTCTGCCCCACTGAGGGAAAGGGGTAGCTCCCAGCTCTCAGAGCTCTTGTGGTATGCTGTTTGCCACCTCAGGAAGACACCCCTGTGTTGATTATGCCCTGCCGTAAGCCCGCAGCGGTGGTTCCCTGTACAGTTTCCCCGCACAGGACCCCCTGCCTCCTACCCCCAGCTGCAATTTTGCTGCTCTCTCCCTTGTGTTGGTGCAGCGGCACATGGTTTGTGGAGCCCTGCAGCAAGCTCCTGCACAGGGGAGAGCATTTGGAGGCATGTGGGGATCTCTTAAATGTTTTTTGCCCAAAGGAAATAGATTATGAACCACACCTCTGCTGTGCTTTCCCTTGCAATGAAAGCTCAGTTCCTGTAGCTTAAATTTGCACCTAGGGCTGTGCTCTGTGGCTGCAGAACAGGCAGGGCTCCGAGTGTCACACGCTTCTGGCCAGTTCCCCAAAGCTGTATTTTAATCCTGTTACAGCCTTCAGTCAGAAAAGTAGGGCCACCTAGGGGTGGTCCATCACTGCCTCCTGGCAGATCAGCTAACTCAGGGTTTCTTGAGAGACGTTCCTTTAACTATTTTCTAAAAGTCTCCTCTGCTGCAGGATCTGTGTTCCAGAGCTTCACCAGCCCTCCTGCTACAACAGGGCCTTTTTCTTTCCCTTCCTTATCACAATGTAAGCTTGTGACTTCTTGTCCCAGTTAGTCTTCACTTTGCTTTCTGCAGTAATGGCATTAACAGCAGGTGAGCAGTAAATCAGCAGCTGGGAACTGCCTCAACAAGTGCAGATTTGGGAGCCTCCTGAGGTGGTAAGCAGACTCTCTGCAGCCTACGGTTGGATTACCTTGCAGTTTGTCCCACCACTTAGTGTAGCAGTCAAGTCACAC